ATTCAAGGGTATTTTACTCTAAGTCAGAAAGAGCCAACCCTACAACACGACCTGCCATACCTACTCTATAAGGCTCGGGATGTAGTTCAGGGGCACAAGCGCCTGCCTGGAACATACAAGGTCCTGAGTTTGATCCCCAGTACAAAAAAGAAAAAAAAAAAAAAAACCAAAAAACCCACTGGTTCCATATACTCTGAAAGGAAACTACACCTGCACCAGTAAAAACCATCCTGGGGCATCAGGACGCTGAGCAAGGATTTGCTATTTGCTTCTTGTCTGAGACCTGCACAGGTGAGCTGGAGCTTTGCTCTGCTGCGCTGAGCTCTTTGTAGTACACAAGCAAGCTCAGCAGCTTAATTTCTCCCCATCGCTCAAGGACATTTCTCTCCCGTGCGCTTTTAAGAGGGAACATTGCCTGCTCGCTCAGCCTCCCCTTGAGCATTTCCTCCCTGTTCTGCTCCACTGCCTTTAGCTGCCAGTGGGGTGGCTTTGAGCTTCCCTGGGGGCAGCAGACATGTTCCAGGAAGGTCAGAAACTGCAGTTTACAGAGAAGGCAGATGAGAAAAAAGCTCTTTGCCAAGGTGTCATCACAGTGCCACTAAAACAGAACAAAGGAATGAAAAGTGGAACCCCAGCTCTGCACAGGAGGAGACCTTGGGGCCACAGCATTAATGCTTCTCTGGCAGACTGCACCCTAGAGGATGATGGTCGGCTGGACCCCTCTTGGGCTGAGGGAGGGGCAATACCACCCAAGACCTGCACTAGCCCTTTCAGGGACTCTCACAGCAGGGAGTTGGCATGACCTGAGACGTCCTGCTATTTTTGGTCTTGCTGTATATTTTACATCTCTGTAAGAATATTAGTATATAAACATGTATGTGAGAGACTTTACAAATTATGAAAATTTGAAAGCACAACATTTGGCTGGATTAGGAGAGCCCTGGAGAGGCAACTGAATCATGGGGCGCTGCACCCAGAAGCGGATGAACTCACTGATGTTCACATCAGTGTGGTGTTAGGTGAGGACAGGCTGGAGTTGGGGTTGGGGGTGCCTCTGGAAGGTGCCACCTCTTGCTGGCACTCATACCCGTGCTCTACTGCCCAGCTGCTGTGAGCGGAGCAGCTGTGCTCCACCACGGCCCTCCGCCATGATGTTCTTGCCTTAGAGACAGTGACCCCAGGTGGGAACCGCTGAAACCTGGAGCAAAATTTACCTGTCTTGGAAACTGCATCAGGTATACTGTTCCAGCAATAAGAAATTAAGGCCTCAGATCTTGCTCCTTGGAATACAAGGGTCAGGAGTGCATTAAATCTGCACAGGGCTCAAATGTCAAAAGCAAGTCAGCACAAACTCTGTACGGCACTTGACAGCTCTTAACGTTATCCACTTCAAACTAATGTCATCTAAGCCTGAAATGCTAATTCTGTGCTTTTTGTCTAAAGTAAATGTAAGACTCATTATAGTCACTCAAAACAACCCAGAATTTCTAACACAGATTACATTAAATTGCAGCATTTCTCAGTGATTGTCTAAGACTTTGCTTAGACTAAAAAAAAAAAAAAATCCTAGCTACTGCTCTTCTATGGGCAATGTAGCTCATCTCATACAAATGAAATCAAATTATCTTCATACAAAAATCAATTTAGGGGCTGGCCAAATGGCTCAGTGAATTGAAGTGCCTGCAAGCAGGCACAGGGGCTGAGGGCTCAATCCCTGGGCCTGCTGTGCTAGCCCTGCCCCAAGGGCACACTAAGACAGCGATTGAGACTAGGTGTGGTGGCACATGTCTATAATCTCAGCATTTGGGAGGCTGAAAACAGGCAGATCAGTATGAGTTCAATCTAGTAGTGAGACCCTGGACACCCTGTAGACCCTTCCCTAAAATATAAAAAAAAAAAAA